AACATTTACAGGACTTAGAGGAGGTGTTCCGGCGCTTGCAGTAGAACGGCTGATCACTAAGTGTTAAACATTATATATGTGTTATTGCTGTGTAGGCTGTAGTGGGTTAGCCTTTAAGGGGTACACAACTCTAGGGTTTCATACTTGTACTCCAATGTTTCATAGTTCAATCACTTCTTGTTTCTGACACTAAGGGCTCTAAGTGTGAGTTCTTACAGTCGGAACTGGAGTTCCTGGGGCACGTGGTTTCAGAGGAGGGCATTAAGATTGACCCTCGCAAAGTCAAAGCGATTTCGGAGTGGAAGCCGCCCACGAACATCACGGAGTTGCAGAGTTTCCTCGGCTTCGTTAACTACGCCCGCCGTTTTGTACCGAATATGGCGGGGGTGACCAGGCCGTTAACCGATCTTCTGCATAAGGGTGTGCAATTTTTTGTGGGGGAGAGAGAGCAGCTGGCCTTCGACGAGCTGAAGAAATTTTTGAGTTCACCCCCGGTGCTTCGACTGGCAGATCCATCTCGACCGTTCGAAGTCGTGTCGGACGCCAGCGATTTCGCCGTCGGCACTGTGCTACTACAAGACTTTGGCAACGGGCTGCAACCCATCGCGTACGAGTCAAGGAAAATGCAGCCGCCTGAGCGCAACTACCCTGTACACGACAAAGAAATGCTCGCCATCGTGCATGCATTTCGTACCTGGCGCTGCTATCTCATGGGAGCTGATATCACCATCCGAACTGACCACAAACCATTACAGTACATGCGCAGCCAACCACAACTCAACCCACGACAAATCCGGTGGCTCGATTACCTCGAGTCGAATTTCCGCTACACCATCACGTACAAAAAGGGCGCCAACAACATCGCCGACGCTTTGACCCGCCCATCGATGCAGACCGCAGCAACTCTAATCGCCCATTTAAGATCGACAGGTTTTTCAGGACCAATCAACACCAACGGGTCACCACAGCGCATGGGAACTACTACCTAAAAGTCGGTACTAACCGAGTTTGGGTACCTTCCTACCGACCCTTACGAGAATTGCTGACGCAGGAAGTACATGACTCCAATCTCTCCGGGCATTTCGGCGTCGACAAAACGTTTAAGCTGCTGCAGCAAAATTATTACTGGCCCGACATGGCGTCGGACGTGCAGCACTACGTGTCCGCCTGCCCGACCTGCCAGGCAATGAAGTCATCACGACAACGCCCAGCTGGATTACTGCAGCCCCTCGAGCCACCCGAACGACCGTGGCAACAGGTGACAATGGATTTCGTCATGGGACTACCAGCTGGCGCAAGTGGCAACGACTCCGTGCTCGTCGTCGTCGATCGCTTAACGAAAATGGCGCATTTCGCACCATGCCGCACGACGATCACAGCCGAAGAAACAGCGAAGCTCTTCATCTCGACCGTCGTGCGACTACACGGGTTACCTTCGGCGATCGTCAGCGATCGAGATCCGAAATTCACGTCGAAATTCTGGCAGGAGACGTGGGCACAGTACGGTACCCGCCTGCAGTTCTCGTCGTCCTACCACCCGCAAACCGACGGACAGACAGAGAGGACAAACCATACGATGGAGCAGTTGATTCGCACGAACTGCCCCGACATCACCAAATGGGAAGATTCACTCCCCATGCTCGAGTTTGCGTACAACAACGCCCCATCTGCAACAACCAATCAGTCGCCGTTCTACCTCAATTACGGGATAGATCCAGTGGTACCCTCGTCAACGACTCCTGAAAACACGGGTACCAAGGTCGCAGCAATTCGTTTCGGAACTTCAAGCAGCGCGTGACAAAGCAGCGGAGTTTATCCGGAAGGCTAATACTGTCGCCAGCCGATATGCTGACCGACATCGACGGAACTTACCCTTCCGTACCGGGCAGATGGTCCTCCTGGACACGAAGAACCTAAAACTGCCCCAACCTGCAAAATTGCGTCCCCGCTACGTGGGGCCTTTCCGCATCATTCGGATGCTGACCCCGGTCACAGCGAAACTTCTACTACCGGACGACTGGAAGATCCACGACACTTTCCATGTCAGTTTGCTCCGCCACTACGTGGCACCGCAGCCGTCCGACGTCACTCGACCCAACCCAGCGCCAAGTGTCCGCCCGGTGGCAGACCCGACACTTCAGCCTTGGAAGATATTGAATCATCGCATTCGTGCGACCCCTGCTGGACGACACGTCGATTTTCAGCTACGCTGGGTGGATCGCACAAGTGAAGATGACACGTGGGTTGACTCACTACAAGGCCACTCGGTATTTCGGGATTATCTTTCCCGCCAACACATGCCTGATATTGACCACCTTTCTTAAGGGGGGGGGGGGGGGGGGGGGTGGGGGGGTAGTGTAAGGAATTTCGCTAATTCCTTACTGAGGCATCTCTTACGCGTACAATTCCAACTCTTCGGAATTCAGGCTCGGTTCGTCGACCTCGCCTTCCGAACGTCCTCCGCGTCGCCTTCGGGTTTCCCAAACCCAAACCTGCACCCAACCTTCGTGCGACTCCGCGACCTCGGCCTAACTAGCTTTGCTATATATTGCCTAGGCCTCGTTGTTTGCTCAGGCTTTGTAATCACTTCCGCGTTATTGAATACTGCGCACTTTTCTTTCGTACAACTCATAACAGAGAACCTGGAACGGTAAAAGATTATAACATGTAGGCCAATTCATACAATTACAATTATAACATGTAAGCCATCCCTTCAGCAAGTCTATTGATTTTTTTTTGTCATCCTAGGCAACTCACGAAGCTCTTGCAAAAAGCTTCTCTTCTCGCAGCCATAAAAAACTACTCCGGATATGGATAAGCCTAGTGCATTTTATATGCGCATGGTGTTTATTCTCAGTCTGAATGATGTGTATGTAGCAACTGAAAGTTGGGTAGTAAATCTGGATGGACCTCCTAACAGACATGTGGCCAACAGCTGTTCTGAAACATCTCAAAGTAAATTCGCCTCACTACAAGCTGCAACCAGACTTAGTCTCTTCTCACTACACGCAACACGTCACCCACCAGGTGCAGTGACCCTGTCACTAACACCTGCAGATGAACGTATGGATGCATCTTAGCCGTCCATCTAAGCAGATCAATGGCAGCTGGTAATGACGGCAGCACAACACTGCAAGGTCCCAAACTCGCCATTCCCTGGGAGATCAACGGCCAGAATAAATCCTCCAACTCTTTCATTTCTGCTGCTTGTGTTGCTCCTTGTGCTGCTGGTTGTTCAGTTGCTGATGCTGGCGATGCTACTGATTGACTCGAATCACATGGGACTAGGAACGAAGCAGGAATCGAGTCAACTGAACGGCCACCTGAACCAGCAGCAGAAGCAGGAGCAGGAGCAGCAGCAGGAGCAGCTCCAATATCAGAAGCAGCGGCAGCAAAATTAACAGCATGCAGAGGCTGCTGCTGCAGCTGTTCCCATGTTTGCTGCATGGCTAGCTGCCAAACCAGACTGCTTTGGCCGAGGCTGCTGCTCTGCCTCGTGCCACTAGCATCGGTGCCAGAGCTGGTGCTTTGGCTCGTCAAATTAGGAGCCAAGCCAGTGGAGTCGGATGAGGGGAGGTAAGCCGAGGAAGGTGCGGAGGATGATGGAGAGGGGAGGAGGGCGGTGTAGGATGAGAGGGAGGGGACAAAGAGGGCTCGATGGAGAGACAGGCCTGGGGATAAAGGGATGGGGAAGGAGACGAAAGATTGACAGTGAATGAATGGGCAAAGGAAGGAAAGGGGAAAGATAGATGGGTGATGGAAGGGGAATGACAAACTCATGGAATGGGAAAAGGAAGGGAATCGGCAAAAGAAGGGCACGGGAAAAGAAAGGAAACGAGAGAAGAAAGAGAATGGGAAAAGAAAGAGAACGGGAAAAAAATAGAATGAGAAAAGAATTGAAGTGGACTAAGAAACGGAATGGATTAAGGATACATGCACACGCAGCCAGCCAGAAGCGCAAAGAGAAGGCTTAGAGAGAAACAATGATTGCTGTTTTCTATCATTGCTACAATTCTGTTAACCATTTTTATGCACATGAGTGTTTTCAGATGGAACTGAATTATTCCAACATACTTAAGCATTTTCTTACATACCTTTGCGCTCAAGTGTCCTAAGCAGCTGCGTCATAAGTGTGTGAGGGTCCCGCTCAGGCATGCAGTTGAACAGCAACACCTGTGATGAACCATGAGCGCAGGGAGTGAGAGCAGCACAGTGAGAGCAGGGCAGTGAGAGCAGGGCAGCGAAGGCAGAGAGAGCAGGGCAGTGAGAGCAGGGCAGTGAGAGAAGAAAAGCACGATTAGTGCAGCATGAGAGAACGTGGAGCAAACGACATGCAGCTGAACAGGAAAACCTGTGGGCAAGAAAGGTAAATCTCGTGAACTGAGTGCATATCATTCTGCCTCTGCATATCATCCCCCCTCTGCATGGTAACTCTGCCACTCAACCAGTCCCCACACACTTCCCTTCGCGAGACCTTACCCGCACAGGCGTCTTGGCTTCCACTTTGCTTGGCCCTTGCACCACCCCCGCTGCTGGTGCTGCTGCTGCTGATGCTTTTGCTGCTGCTCCTTCTACTGCTGTTGATGCTGCCCCTTCCCCAACATTCGTTCGTCCAACCCCCTCTCCACCCCCCTTCCCATTCCCTCTTGCATCTCCAGAAGCTTCCGAGAACCACTCTCCGCACACCTCCATACTCTCCACTGTATGGGCACCGTCCAAAAAGAATGTCAGCTGCCCGCCTGCACTTCCAGCTTGCCCAGGCTCGGCCGGGCAGTCCTGCAGAATTTCGCACCTGCCCGGCCAGGAGGCACCCCCTAGCCCTTTGATGTAAGCAAGTGGCAGTGTCTTATTAGCCAGGGCCTGAACCGGGAGGTAAAGGCAAGAAGAGGGAGGTGAACCGGACACAAGGAAAACAAGAAGTGAATTCAAGTAGACCAAGGTAAAGAGGAGCAACAACACGAGCAGATGTCCTACTAACCAGAGTAGTTTCTAGGCGCGTCAACATTAGGAGCAATATCACGAGTATGTCCTACCGGGCAGTCCTTGAACCAGGTGGCGAATGCAAGGCCTGTGGAAAATGAAGGAGATCGGAACCAGGGATCGGAAGTGCCTCCTTAACTCACCTCATCGACAGCATCTTCTCTGCCTCATCCTCCCAGCCGCCGAGGATGGCCCACTGGCGGCAGAGAGAATCGGCCAGGTGAATGAAGAGTGTTTCTGAGACGTCTCAGTAACACATGTCTTTCACGGAACTGACTCCTCACCTGATCGACAGCATGTGCTCTGCCTATTCCCGGCCGCCGAGGATGGCCCACTGGCGGCAGAAAGAATCGGCCAGCAACGCATTGACCTGCTGGTGCCGGCAACACAACACACCACTTGACAGACCTGACAGCACCGCACTGAACCTCACCTCATCGACTGCACGTGCCTCCTCTTCCCTGCCACTGCGAATGGCCCACTGGCGGCAGAGAGAGACGGCCAGCGATGCGTTCACCTGCTGGTGCCGGCCCGCCAATCCCACGCGGACACCTGGCGCTACCTCATGCCACGGCCTGGCCACCTTAAGGGGAATCTAGCGGGGGAAGAGCAGTGGGCGGGAACGAGATGGTGTGTATGTGGGTGTGTGTGTGTGTGTGTGTGTGTGTGTGTGTTGAGTGGGTGTGTGGTGTGTGGGAGTGTGGGAGTGTGCAAGGTAGAAAGGACAGACAGCCTTTCTGAGGGAAGGAAGCATTGCAGTGGCATGTGAGGCATCATGGCCTCAATCCAGCTTTTGAGTCGACTCAAAAAAAGGGAAGCAGTGCAGTGGCATGAGAGGCATCATGGCCTCAATCCAGACCCAGACCCACCTCGAAAACTCCCCACCCAGACCCAATCTCGTTCACACCCACACCCACCCTCCCACCTGCAGCTCTGCTGCTCGCTGCCTGAGCACCTCCATTGCCTCCTCCTCCTGTGGCGCCGTCACTGCCGGCACTCCTGCCTGGGGAGCACGGGGTGTGGAGCGTGGAGAAGCATGAGGGGAGAAAGGCAAGAAGGAAGAGGGAGATTGAGGCAAAGGGAAAAAAAAACTATTGGGAGGAGTGATGGAAAAAACGCACTTGCTCTCTTGACCAAGGATCAAAAATACGACCAAAATATTGATTTTAGGGCCGTATTATACGGTATCGTATTATACGGTCGTTTAAAACGGTTTAGTACGGTTAAATGTTATTTTTAAATTTCGATTAAAAATACGATCGTTTTTTTCGACCGAATTTTTAGAACGGAGAAAGTGTACACCGAATTTCAACAATCAGCCCCGTCGAGTTCGTTTTGGGGGATTTTGTGAGAAGTCTTGTGAGTCTCGCTCGAATTTGGCCCGAGTCGCGCATGTTAGGAAAATGGCGTGGCGCGACATTTTGACATCTGACGAACGGTATAAAAGCGCTTACCCGTTTCGCTGAGTCGTTTGAGTAGTTCGCCGAATCGCGACGACACCAAATTTCCGAGGCGCGGAAATGTACACCATTGGCGAACCCCTTGAACCTTGGTACCCGTTTCGCGGAGTCGTTAGCACAACTCGCGCGCTGGGTTTATTTTTCGCCCCCAATCCTGACGCCTCGCACAATTGCGCGCGACACGATTCCAGCCAATAGTAATACACCAATCCATCTCCCATCTCACGTCATCCATTCTTCAAACACCCCTCGACAAAGCAGTACAAAAAGATACATATTGGAGGAGGAAAATCCCATTCGACACATCCTCTCTCTCGCTGCCGTATCCCAGAACAACAATCTCTGACCCACGCTTTCTCAGCATAGTCTAGTGGAACGCCATGGTGCGCCTCGCTTCTCAGTTTTGGGAGCACGTCATTAAGATTAAGGATGACGAAGGCAACGTAGTCGGTGCTACCTGCATTCATTGCAAGAATCCTGTGACGGCTAATGCGACTAGGATAGGCGAGCACATGTTCGGCACTAACAAGAGGGACAAGAACGTTGCGATGTGCAAGTCGGACTATGCTAAGCAGCTGCGGGCGACAGCCGATCAGGAGCTCTCGACCACGGAAAATGCTACGGGAGGATCAACCCGTGCCTCCATGTCCTCGGTGGAGGCGCCGCCCGTGCGTCGCTCCCGACAGCGAGATATCCGTGATATGACGGACCAAGTTGCGCATAATCGCCTTGATTACCTGTGGGCTGCTGCAGTTGCCGAGAACGACCTCGCCTTCAACGTCAGCAAGTCGAAATCGATCCAGGCGTTCGTTGACGCGGTGATCATGTACGCGAAACCGTACACCCTCCCAACCCCATACAAGGTATCCGGCCCATTGCTGGACAAGCTGAAGGCGGACTCCGAGGACCTGCTGCGGCAGGTGAAGGAGAGCTGGAAGACCAGCGGGTGCTCGCTCTCCGTCGATGGATGGACGGACATCAAATCCCGCGGTTTTGTGTGTGTCATCGCGCAAAATGACACCGCACCCGTCATCGTCGACATCGTTGACTCGAAGACCGTAAAAAAAACCGGGGACTACTTGGCAACGCTTATTCAGGGAGCGATCACCACTGTGGGGCCGAAGCATGTCGTCCAAGTCGTGATGGATAACGCTTCGAACAACAAAAACGCCGCCAGCAAGCTAAGCGCGGATTATCCCCATATCTTCTTCACCAACTGCGCCGCCCACTGCCTCGACCTCATGCTGCACGACATCGGCAAGATCCCTGCGGTGAAACTCGTCCTTTCCCAAGTGCATCAGGTTGTGATGATGATCAAAGGCTCCGCCTCGGCCGTGGTCTTGTTCCGTGAGCTTTTTACCAAGCTCTCGTTGGTGCGGCCTGGTGCAACGAGATTTGGCACCCAGGTCATCATGCTCGGCAGGTTCCTTGAGGTGAAGCGCGCGTTGAGGGCGATGGTAATCAGCGAGGAATGGGAGGATGTAGCGGTGGCACGGACGGAGGAGGGGATGGAGGTTAGGAAGCTGCTTTTGGACGACGCTTTTTTGGGACTGTGGGACGGCCGTGCATCGCCTCATGACTCCCATCTACGAGGTTCTCCGCGCCGTCGACACACGGGCTCAAGTCATGGGGCAGCTGTACAGCATCATGCTTGAAGCCACGGTGAAGACAAATGCGGCGGCTGAGACGGCTGGTGAGTGAGACGGCTGAAAGTATTACGCGATGGGTATTGATTGTTAATCTCTCCACCCACCCGCTCATGCTTCCTATCTAATTAGTGCTCTTTATTCACTGTGAGCAGCCGCACACTTCATCAAGCGGACGGGTCTGCTGTTGCCTAAGGACAGGAGCACTTTCCTCACCTCCATCAAGGCGATCATTGCCAGGAGGTGGGACGCACAACTGCACAACCCCCTGCATGCCATCGGTTGGCTCCTCAACCCCCGTAACCAGTACATTGGGGAGGTAAGGAATGACAAGGAGATTAGGAAGGGGGTGGATGAGGTAATCCAGGCCCGGGGCGGAGATGTGCAGCAGCGCATAACGCTAGCTGCACAGGTGGCTCAGTTTCACCGAGGGGAGGGCAGGTTGGGCTCTGACGATGCCCGTTGGGCAGCAACTACCTTGATGGAGGCGGGGCGCATGACGGAGGCGGAATGGTGGTTCCTGTTTGGTGGGGAGGTGCAGGCGCTCCACGTCACAGCCAGTCACCTCCTCCGAAGTGGAGAGGTACTGGTCGGCGCTGGCACGTGTGCAGAGGCGCGACCGGAACCGCCTCACGGCGAAGAAGATGACTGACGTCACCTTCGTCGCCTTCACCCGGCGGGCCCGTGATGCCTTTGATCGAAAGGCAGCCCTGCGTTCCAAGCTCTATCAGGACCTGGGCAACGGCACCCTCAGGGAAGGGGCTGCCATCATCCCGGCCGAAGTGGAGGTGGAGGAAGGGGATGCGGAGGAGGAGGCACCCGTGGAGGAGGAATGCACCATTGATTGGTCGGAATTTGGGAGCATCGGCAAGAAGAGGAAAGGGAAGGCGGGTAAGTCATCTAAAGGGAAGAAGAGGGGGAAGGGCAACGGTGCATGCAAGGGAAAGGGGAAAGGAAAAGCAGGGGATGCGGAGGAGGAAGAGGAGGCGGAAGAGAGCGGTAGGGAGGAGGAAGAGCCTGCCCTGAATCCCAAGGGGCGATATGCCTGGGATTGCAGCGACGGTTCAAGTGGGGAGGAGGAGGAGGAGGAAGAGGATGACGAGGAGTATGACGGTTAGAGTGGGGAGGGAGGAGGAAGGGGATGACGAGGTGGTGGAGTAGAAGAATAGAAGGCAGCAGGGTGAGTATAGTGGGGTGGGGATGGACTTAGGAGGAGATATAGGCTAAAGGCCGGTACTTGCCTAGGTATGCATAGGGGTAGCGGCAGAATTAGCGGACCATAGCATGCCTGTTTCTCCTTATTGTAGGTTGTTATCGGTTTCCTAGTCTTTGTTGTAGCCATTTCAGTAGATTCTGGAAAAATTCTGACTCAAAAAGGGCCAACAAAAAAACGACAATTTTTTTGGAAAACCGAACGTATTATACCATCGAAAAAAACGCCCCGTATAATACGATAGCCGTATTTTTGATCCTTGCTCTTGCCTAGGGCCCAAGGCTTTCCACAACTTCCCCACCCCCTGGTCCCTACCCTTCTCCACTTTCTCACAGCCTACACTCCCACCCCTTGGCCCCCCCTCCCGTCCCTCTCCCCTTCCCCCCTCCCCGTTCCTGCTCCCCCTCCTCCACACCTCCCTCCCCCTCACCTTAAATATCCCAGCCTTCTCGCCAGCTATCAGAGCCAGGGTGTTTCCTGAAGGTTTCGCAGAGTCAGCAGAGCAGGGGACAGAAACAGAGACACGGACGAGCATGAGTGAGCAGGGGTAGTGAGGGGTGGAAGGGGGCGAGTATGAGTGGGCAGGGGTAGTGACGGGTGGAAGGGGGGTGAGTGCAAGTGGGCAGGGGTAGTGAGGACTGGAAGCGGGTGATTGTGAGTGGACAGGGGTAGTGAGGGGTGGATGGAGGCGAGTGTGAATGGAAAGGGACAGTGAGGGGTGGAAGGGGGTGGGTGTGAGTGGACAGGGGTAGACTGTAGCTCCATACCCAGCACCCACTCACCCAGCAGCTCCATGTGGTCGAATCCCAGTGACGACACGCCACACACTGCCGAGTGCTTGGGGTTGATTGCTCCACCCGGCCTACCCCCACCCAACCCCCCACAGCACACCTCCCCTCCCACTCACCCAGCAGCTCCATGTGGTCGAAGCCCAGAGAGGACACACCACACACTGCTGGATGCTATTGTGGCTGATGGCACATGGCCTTGGCACACCCTGCACCACAGTAGGACTCATCCCCAGCCGCACACATTAAGCCCCACACACACAGACTCACCCAGCAGCTCCATGTGGTCGAAGCCCAGAGAGGACACACCACACACTGCTGGATGCTATTGTGGCTGATGGCACATGGCCTTGGCACACCCTGCACCACAGTAGGACTCATCCCCAGCCGCACACATTAAGCCCCACACACACAGACTCACCCAGCAGCTCCATGTGGTCGAATCCCAGTGACGACACGCCACACACTGCTGGGCGCTTGACCTTAAGGTGTAGAGGGAGATGGGAACGAAAAGAAGGGCGGGAAATGGGGGCAAAGAAGGGCGGGAGGTGGGGACGAAGAAAGGTGGGATTTGGGGACAAAGAGGGACAAGTTTGAGGAGATGATGCCAAGCGGAAGAGAATGTGATGTCACGACATTGCAGAAGAAGGGTGCTCGCAAGCGGGTGTGGGGAAGGAAAGAGTGGGTGCATGGTTCAGAAAGCAAAGAGACCGACCACTCACGATGTTAGTGGCGTCGAATCGTCCTCCAATTCCAACCTCCAGAATTGCCACGTCAACCTGCCACATAGGACAAGGAGCAGAAGGTGGGTTGATTGGCAAGAGGCAAACTTACGGCCCATTGAGCCAACTGTGGGAGACGATGAGCAGGGCGAACAGTCTGAGCGAGGGAAGAGCTATTGCAGCATGTCTAAAAGTGAGTTGGCCGAGAGAGAAAAAGGCTTGCCTGAGTGTGCGTGAAGATACGTAGGGCAAGGAGAGTGAGGAAGCGGAAGTAGGCCGGCATGGGGATGGGGGAGGAGGGAGAGGACGCTGCTTCCTGGAGCGGGAGGGAATGGAACAGGGGAATGGGAGGGGCAAGGGGAATGAGGGGAGAAATGGTGCACTTATGAGTATGAGGCAAAGGGGTTTCGGGATGCGGATACGGGCTAGCATCGAGGTGGGAGACGATGGAAAGTGGGGCGATGGGAACGAGAGAGTGTAACTGCCTTGCACCTTGCACCTGCCTCGCACCTTGCAGCGGTCGTAGCACCACCAGAAGTGCTGCAGAAACGTATCAACTGGCACCATCTCCCTACGGGATGAACAACGAGAGGATTGGTAAGGGTCGGGCAGGGAAAGCAGAGAAGTATGAGCTGACCCTCCCTGGCTGCACAGCACAGCGTCTCACATGATAGATCCCAAATTTTGGCTTGTTAACATAGTTCCCCAAACCACACATGGCTCACCCACTCAGGTAGAACCTCTTCGTGAAGTCCACAAGGTGTGGTAAGCAGGGTACACCCATCAAAGTAAAAGTAAATGCTCTCCAAAAGAAGCTCTTAATTTTTTTTCACCACTCACCCAGCATGCACCGCTCCCCCATCACCACTCAACCCTCACATCACTGACCCGTTGAGGCGGAAGCGCTCTCGGACGTCCACGAGGTGAGGCGAGGTGAAGAGCCCCGTGGTGTGGCCACTGGCCCTCAGCATGCTCTCCGCCATGGCGCACGTGGACCCCTGCTGGGAGAGAGGGGGGTTATTGAGAGGAGGGGACGGGCGAAAGGGAGAAAGATGGAAGGAGCACAATTGGCGACCCGTGGTGAGGCCTCTGGCCCTCAGCATGCTTTCCGCTATGGTGCACATGGAGTTTTGTCAAACAAGTGGAGATGTGGGTGAGAGGAGGGAAGGAGAGAGAGGAGGGCGCGTTGGAATCATGCTGTGCCATGTCATTGAAATCATGCTGTGCTATGTCATTTGAATCATGCTGTGCCATGTCATTTGAATCAGGCTGTGATGCTGTGCCATGTCAAAATGTTGGTTTCTTGCCTTGCCTTTGGTGCCTGCCACGTGGATGATGCTGAGCTGGTCAATTGGTCCCTCCAAATCCAGCACCTGACAACAAGAACAACAATAGTTAGTCGCATATAAAAGGAGAGTCAACATTCCGACAATACGAGCAAGGATCACAGCTGATGGCAGGAATGTTACACCACGGACTACCTCTTTACTGGAATGGAAACAGACGGTCACATCATGACGAGATAGCCTTGCGAAGAACCTTCTTAACTCGGAATGATACCAGAGACCCGACACTAATCTGGTGTCGTTAGTAGCTGGTGACTTCTAAACTTCAGAGAGTAACTGGTCATGAGGGAGTCAATCTTAGAGTAGATATTTATCGCCAACTTTGCAAGCAACCTTAGCTAAGAGAATCACTAGACTAACCTTAACGTATGAGCGCATGAGGGCGAAGGCATCTCCCCAGTTTGACCCATCGGCGCGCTTACGCTGATTGATCAATCCAGAGAGCGCTGCTAGAGCAGCCTCGTAGCCACGTGGATCAACCTTATTGGCTCGAGAGTCGACCTCCATTTGCCTGCCACTGGATTGACTGTCAGGTACCGATGGGTGGAATGCTCTAATAAGCGTTGGATTGAGGAGCACTGAAGACCAGCTCGTACGAGATTGTAGGTGATTTAAGGATGCCTGGCGGGAAATTGCGGAAAGCGCCGATGAAGATGTTAATCCCGGCACGAGCGATGCTGGTGCGACGGATGGATGGCGATTGCGAGAGTTAACGTTGACAACATGCGATGGATCGGCGAGGAGAAAAGAGGTGGCGAGACTGGAGACGGAAAAGCGTGACTGGAAGAGGAGGAACGGAAGGGAACGCCCCGAAGGGCGAAGGGTGATCATCGGCCGCTGCGGTGGATGCTATGCTGGGTCCCGCATTGTTCCGGCTGTGAGAGGCTGCTGCCTGCAGCAGGGCTGTTGATGTGCTCGGCGCGTTTGGTGCCTGACAGACAGGCATTTTGGTGATACTTCAACCTCGAAATTGCCAAAATAAGCCTTCGAAATGGTCGAAATACGAGTTCGTCAAAACTTCTGAATCTATACTGAAATTATAACGAACCCAGAAGTACTGAGGTAAATTTTGCTGACCAGACTGGATTGATGACGTGGTGGAACACCTGGAGAAGCCACAACAGCAAAATGGATATCCTAGTCATTCAACTGCCACGACGAGCTAGAAATCCGCATGAACTGGCACCCCAAATCTTCACACAATCTGGCAGACTTTCTTTGACATGTGCATTCGACCCATCCAATCAGGGGTTCGCGCGCCAGGAGGGACGTCAGAGCGCTACAAGCAACTCATCGAACGGTCAGCAATGCAATCAATTGAGGCTTCTTGTTGACTGTCAGTGATGATCCAACGTCAGTCACATCCTTGCAGTCCAACAAGGCAATCCCGAACGAGTGGCGATGCGTGCGACCAGCAATTTGTTCAGGGAAGAATGCCAGAGGATGATCAGTGATCACTCATCAACAAGCAGTCCCTCTCACTTCCAGCTTTCTGGATTCCGGAACCATTTAGGCTGATCCTGGCACTTGAGACTTACCAGTTCACTGACGCAAATCCGCAGTAGCATTTTGCATCCGAGCTTCTAAGCCTGCATCTTGGACAAGAGAATAATCGTTCGGGGTTCCTTGCGAAGGCGAGGCATTAGCTATAGGTGAAGAATTTGTTTCCAATGGCGACCACTGCAACTGCTCGCAAGTTGCAAGTGCAAGACCCTGTGCCTGCTGACATTGTTATCGCCCAGTCAGTGGAGCCGCGGCCGATAGTTGAGATTGCCAAGGCGGTCGGTCTGCAACCGTCTGAGTACGAGCTCTACGGGAATGTCAAAGCCAAGGCAAGGAACATACCAATATACAAGATACCAACCTCTTTCTTTCAAGAGCTGCGTTCCGTAATTCTGTCCACATCGCAACCTGTTCTCTGTCCACTTATCATTCACCTCCTTATTGTTCATCTCAATGTCGATAAATTTCAGGTTTGCTTGTCCGTGAAGGACCGGTTGAAGGACTCAAAGTCTGGATATTATGTGCTGGTCGCCGGAATTTCTCCAACTCCGCTCGGAGAGGGCAAATCCACCACCACCATCGGGCTCGCACAGGCCCTTGGAGCCCATCTAGACAAGTCGGTGAGTGACAGACTAGCTCGTTTGGTGACTGACAGATTAAGCACGGATTCTTGATCGTCAGATTCGACATGGAAACAATCATTTTCTGTTGTGTAGAAAAACATGAACGAAGAGAAGAGTAGAAACAATATTTTTTCGTGGGCTCCAAGGACCTGGCTCCAGAACGATCTTAACCTCTCTCCATTCGGCCCGATTGCCTCATCCGTGCAGTGTATTGCATGCATCCGTCAGCCCAGCATGGGACCCACCTTCGGCATCAAGGGAGGAGCGGCTGGAGGAGGATACAGTCAGGTGAGCAGAGTATTTGACTGAAATGGACATGTTATTTTTGCAAAATTCAACAAAGATTGACAAGCATCTTGCATGTTTGACGACAATGAATGGAACATGCAAGTTCTCAAAACTGTCTCTAAGTTCATCTCGCTCGCAATAAAGCTGTGAGACTCCACCAATCTTGCCGCACCATCCCAGGTGATTCCAATGGAGGACTTCAACCTGCATCTCACCGGCGACATCCACGCCATCACCGCAGCCAACAACCTCCTCGCCGCCGCCATCGACACTCGAATCTTCCACGAAGCCGCTCAGTCCGACAAGGGGCTGCTGAACCGGCTGTGCCCCGCGGACAAGGAGGGCAAGCGGCGGTTCTCGCCGGTCATGTTCCGGCGGCTGAAGAAGCTGGGGATTGATAAGAGCGACCCCGCGGAGCTGACGGAGGACGAGGTGCGGCGGTTTGTGAGGCTGGATATTGACCCGGAGAAGATCACGTGGCGCCGCGTGATGGACATCAATGATAGGTGCGCCAGGGCATGGATGTGAAGGGTGGGTGCGGTGGGTGGTGGATGTCAAGTATGGGAGCGTGATGGTGTCTGTCAGCTTGTGCGTGACGTGGATGTTCTCGCATGCGTGACGGGGACGTGGAAGGTGGCAGTGATGGATGTCCGTGGGTGGCTTGGGACTAGCAGAAGTCTCGCAAGTGTTCTGTTTCTATGGGTTCTGAGAACTACGAAGAGTGATGGTCCCACCAGAGTGGGTCGCGGCTAGCAGTGGCTGTTATTTTCAAGGATACTGACTGGAAAGCACGAGCAGCCAATGACCCACCTGTGTTGATCCGATGCAACGTTACCAACAACTAGCCCACTTCCGTCTCCCATACGGCGCAGGTTCATGCGGGGGATCACCATCGGGCAGGGGCCAGAGGAGCGCGGGTTGACTCGCCAGACGGGGTTCGACATCAGCGTGGCGAGCGAGATCATGGCCGTGCTCGCCCTCACCACGTCGCTCGACGACCTCCGCGAGAGGCTCGGCCGCATGGTCATCGGCACCAGCCGCGCGGGCGACGCGGTCACTGCTGATGACTTGGGGATTGGTGGCGCGCTGACGGTTATTATGAAGGTAAGCGAGCAAGGGGTGTTTTGGTTGTCTGGTGGTGAGGTTTGACTGTTTTGCGTTGTGAGGCCCTTCCTGTACGTGCATGGGGTTTCGCGTTCCATGCTTTTTCAATGAGTATCCTCCCGTTGCCCATGCATTGTGCTGCTCTTTGTTGTGCTGCTCTTCGCACCCCTCCCTCCTTCCACCCCCCTCCTTCGTTACTGTCTACCTTCGCTTCGCTCTCCCCGTCCATCCCTCCCCTCCTCTCCAGAACGCCGTTCGCCCCACGCTGATGCAGACGCTGGAGGGCACGCCCGTGCTGGTGCACGCTGGGACTTCCTTCCCATTCTTCGCCTCCCCTTTCCCTTCCATCCCCTCACATTCCCTCCCTCCTCCTCCCTCCATTTCAGGACGCCATTCGCTCGACGCTGATGCAGACGCTGGAGGGCACGCCCGTGCTGGTGCACGCGGGGGCCTCCCTCCCACTCTTCGCTTCCCCCTTTTATCCCATTCCCTCACATTCCATCCCTTCCTTCCCCTCCCCTCCTCTCCCGTCCCCTCCTCTTCCCTCCCCTCCTCTCCAGGACGCCATTCGCCCCACGCTGATGCAGACGCTGGAGGGCACGCCCGTGCTGGTGCACGCGGGGCCGTTCGCCAACATAGCGCACGGCAACTCGTCCATCATCGCGGACCAGATCGCCCTCAAGCTTGTGGGGGAGGGGGGCGTCGTGTGCACTGAGGCTGGCTTCGGGGCGGACATTGGCGCAGAGAAGTTTTTCAACATCAAGTGCAGGTGAGCTAAGGGGGCCGCGTGAGGAGGGGAGCATAAGACAAGGGGTAGCTGCAAGAGAGCTTACTGACACTTGTCAGGCGAGCATCAGGTTTAGAGGTGCCTCAATGCAATGGAATGTGTAACGCCTGTACCAGACAACATGCTCCCTCTGTCCATTCCCCCACATCACTCGGTTTCTTTTAGTCAATTTTCCCCAAAGCATCCTTTTCCCAGGGTCAACTCTGAAGCAACCCTTTCCCCAAATAATCTCTTACCCCGAGCAGGTACAGCGGGCTGCGCCCCCACTGTGCAGTGATAGTGGCGACAGTCCGTGCTCTCAAGATGCACGGAGGGGGGCCAGCAGTGGTGGCAGGGAAGCCCCTGGACCACGCATACACGTCAGAGAACGTGGAGCTGGTGGCGCAGGGCTGCTCCAACCTGGTCCGCCACATTGAGAACACCCGGCGGTATGGGGTTGCCGTGGTGGTGGC